CTAATGGTCCCCGCTGTGCGCTAGGCACTGTCCAGACACTGGCCCGGCTCCAGGCTGTTCGTGATCCAGAAAGCTCCGCAGCTTGCCAGGCAGAAGGGAGACCTGGAGTAACAGCACTGCCGGGCCGAGAGCCAATGCACATGGAGGCCTCAGTGAGGCTTTGTCGGGGTGACGGCGCGTTGGGGTCCCCCGACCCTGCACCCCGTCCGCAGCCAGATGTGACTCCGCCAGCCAGTAGAACAGAGGGGTTATTGCTGCTCAGGATATAGCCTGGCCTGGGTTCCATGTGGGCACAGGAGTAAGGGGCAGGCAGCCTCAGACCCCGTGGGGCAGGGGTACCCAGGCCCTGAGCCCCCAGCACTCCGCTTAGTCCCGTCTCTTCATGTTAGCCCAGCTCCCAGGCCCTGCCCCCAGCCAGGTGTCCGTCTCCGCCCCCCTCCCTTTGTCTCTCCCCTGGGAAGAGCCTTGTTACCTGCTCAGGCTGGGCCGAGGTGTCTGGGCCAACACACGTGGGTGAGTCCGTGGGAATCGCACCTCACCGCCCAGTGGGGACACCGGGGTGCAGAGCAGACAGCCCCCCGCTACTTCACAGTCCCTTGGCACGGTCAGGGCCGGGCAGGGCTGGCCAGCCGAGGGATTCGACAGACGCCACGCCGGGGGCTCACCGAAGTTTGGACTAACTTCCGTGTGGGTGTAAATGGAGGCAGCTCTGCTGACTTCCGTGGGGGTCCGCCCAGCGACATCAGTGTAGAATTGGGCCCTGAGTCAGGGCCGGGCAGGGCTGGCCAGCCGAGGGATTCGACAGACGCCACGCCGGGGGCTCACCGAAGTTTGGACTAACTTCCGTGTGGGTGTAAATGGAGGCAGCTCTGCTGACTTCCGTGGGGGTCCGCCCAGCGACATCAGTGTAGAATTGGGCCCTGAGGGCGCCGCCCCCCCGAGGGGCTGGAGGAAAAGCAGCCGAGCCCGACGCTTTCCCCGCCCAGGGCAGTGCAGGGATGTCTGTGGCGCTCCCCCTGGCAAAGCAGGAGGCAGCGAGAGCTCGCTGACCTTGGCCTCGCGCCCGCAGACACCCCCGGGCACCCTCTGTCCTGGGAGCTAATTCCTAAAGCCATTTTCCATTTTCTTCAAGGGCCTCCAGAGGAGCCCTCGTGTTGAGCTAGCATGGTGCCTAGAGCGAGACAGCGTGGACACAGCAGATATCTAGGTTCTGACAGCGGTAGGGGAGTTCTAGCCAGGGACCCGCTCCACACGGACAGGATGGAGCCCGCCCAGGTGCACCTCTTGCTGTGAGTATCCGAGACGCCCGGCCAGCTTCGCCCCTCGTGTCAGCGGGCCCCACGCAGCTGCCGCGGGAGGACTCTGCTCACTCCGGGGCGGACTTTGGCCCCGCCCACTTGGAGTCCTCCGCAAAGCGCGCTGAGCCCAACCCTCCCGCGCAGCTCCGCGCCGGGGTCCCGCTGGGAAAGCCACACGCCCAGCCGTGGCCTCGCCCCGCCCCTGTGCCGCCA